CACGCACACACGCACACATGCACACAAACAACCACATGCACACACATACGCACATACACAACACACAACACACACGCACACACGCACACACGCACAAACACACACACACACGCACACACGCACAGATGCACACACGCACACACGCGCACACACAAACACACACAAACACACACACACACACGCACACACACACACACGCACACACGCACGCACACACACGCACGCACACACACACGCACACATACACACACGCACACCCCTTTTACACGTCCAGGGTCAGCGTAGCTTTGTTGAATATACCCTGTTGCTGGGGACAATTCCCTCCCCTGGTCGGCGGAGCCCTGGGGGGAGGGGCAGCGTCCGGCGCCGACCCCAAGAAGTCCGAGCGGACCTCCGAGTGCTCCGTAGATGTCTGCAGGTCGTTGCTCTGCGACAGAAGCTCTCTGGTCGGGTTCTGCCGAGCCGCCAGAGACACTAGGGGGGGGAAGGGGGGGGACCCCCTGGAAGATGGCACGCCCGAGCGTCGCCCAGTACAGGAGAGCGCTCGCGCGTTCCCCCGTCGAGGGATGGCCCTCCGATAGGTCATCTTTTCTGTTTCCTTCACAAAGCGTCTTTCCTCGGCGGCAAGCTGTAGGTGTCACGTACCAGTATACCTCGAGTGCTCCTCGGAACAGGGCGAAACATAGTACATGCATACCTGGCGGGTCGGACTGCCCCCGACCAGTTCTCGGTGGTGGTCCCCGAAGAGGACCTGGGGGACGAGTAGCCACCCCTGGGCAAGCGCGTTCCACTGCTCGCAGAGTATCTACTCGCAAATGGCCTGGATCCGCCGCGGGGGACTCACGATCCACCACATCGAGGCAAGCACGTGTTTTTTTTTCGGACCCTTCCGAGTGGGCACGTTGCGAGTAGAGGAGCGCGCTCGGTGAAGCCCTGCGCGCGCGCCCCCCTGAAGGGGCCCTGGGACACACAAATAAATACACACAAAGAAAAGGATTCCCCGTATTTTCATATATTTTCTGGGTTTTTGTCTTCCCCCCCCCCACTTCCCATATTTTCCCATATTTTCCTGGGAATCGACGGTTCATTGTGTCTGTGTGTTCTTTCCCCCTCCGGACCCCCACCCCCCCCCCGAGGGCGGGGCCTCCTCGATCCCCCCGAGCCAGCACGTGCCGGCGAACGTCAGGTAGCGCACGCGGTCCATGTCGAGCAGCTCGAACAGCCTGGCCCCAGGCCGCTGCGGGGCCCTGCGCCCCTCGTCCTCCTCGATCCTCCTCCTCCTTTTCCGCGGTCCTCCTCGATCCTCGTCCTCCTCGATCCTCCTCCTCGATCCTCCTCGATCCTCCTCTTGCGCTGCACGGGCCGTGCTCGGGAGGCCAAATGTCCAGACCATTCTCCTCCGCCGCCGCCTCCTCCGGCTCTTCAGCCCTGCCCTTCCCGCCACGAGCTCCCCTGCGCGCGCTGAGTCCACTTCTCCTCCTCCTTTCCTCCTCCTGCACGGCCCTGCCTCTCCTCCTCCTCCTGCCCTCCCCCCACCTCCTCGTCGCCCTCCCTCGCCTACATCCTGCTCGTCTCCCTTCTGGTCCTGCCGTGAACTCTCTTCCCCTATTATGCTGCTCCCCCTCCTCATCCCCCCCCCCGACCTGCCTGCGCAAGCCCGGGCGCTCCAGGAGCGCATTTTTTTACTCGCGGCCATAACGGGCGTTATGGGGGTGAGCGGGGGGGCGGGGACGGGGAGAGCGCCACCCCCCAGACTGTGGTGCCAGACGCACTGTGGCAGTACAGGGGACGCACTGAGGGGGGGAGCGTTACGCCATGGGAGGGGAAGGGGGGGGGGGGCAGGGGGCACAACGCGCGTTATAGCCCAGAGGGTACACAAAAGAAACATACTCTCCAAGGGCTTGCGTGGAGGCACGAGGCAAAGGGAGGCACACCCTGTCGCCCCCCGTCCCCATTCCCCCCTCATGCTGCGGCTCTGCGACGCAGCGAGGCCGGACCCGAGCATAAAAGGCACTCCAGGCAGGCCTCGGAAGCGGAAGGAGGGCTTGAAGGGTCCAGCCCCGATCCAAGTCATCCGCGCGGACCTCCAAGACAATATGCTTATGCCGCTTATTGTTCCGCTAGGGTTGGGCCGGGCGTGTCCTCCTACAGGCGGACCCTAGAGGAAGAATTCAAACTAGGCTGGAAAAAACTCACACGTAGTCACCCAAAAGATGAAAAGTCGTCCCCAGATTATTATCTACTATTTTTGAATACCACTCCTGTAGAGGTACACGCCCGACTTAACCCTAGGGGAGGGCAGGATGAAAGAAAGGACGGGGGCCAAACCACCTTCCTCCTCCGGAGGCGCCGCCATGGGGGGCCCAACGCCGATCCGTAAACTCAGCGCGGACCTCCGAGAAATCACATGTTGTGAAAAGTACGTGCTTTTGTTGTTCGATGCCCACCCTCCCCCCCGCACACCCTTTACCTGCCCCTCCCCCCTCGAGTGGGGCGCCCACGAAAAGGACGTACGCGCCCGGCTGTGTACAAGAGCACGGCCCCATCGATCCGCGAGACTGGCCGCGTGATACGAATACTTGCGCAATGCGTACTCCCGGAACAAGCGTGGATTCATGCAGAGTAGGAGCTCGACCATAAGAAACCTTCATTCAGAAACCCAACCCTGAGACCCCAGGACGTCCATTGATTCTTGGTGTGGGGAACGCCACGCTTTCCATAGCAAAACCATCAAAACCCAAGAAACCCAGGGCACCCTGGAGATAAGCAGGGTGTAAAGCTTTCTGGATGGGGTCCGAGCAGATGGGGTCGCATCGCTGATACATCGGCGATGCGTCGCAGATGCATCGGCCATGCACTGGTGACGTCGGCGATGCATCGGCGACGTCAGCGTGGAGAAAATTATGCCTCACATCGAGCCACATCGCTGATGCATCGCCGATGCATCGGCGATGCATCAGCGATCCTCCGACCCCATCTACTCCGACCCCATCTGGGAGGCCTAGAACGTCCTCCTTACGCTCCAGATCGAGCTCACCCCCAAAGGCCCATCGACATCCACATCGATCCTCATCCACATCGATCTTCGACCCTCCTCCTTCCGGGGGCGCGCAAACATGGATTAGCGATCCATGGATTTGGCGCGCGGTCGCCAAATCCATGGATCGGCTGAAGTGCCCTCCCCAAAATGCGGTCGGTGCCACCTCGTTCGGCGGCGGAAATCCACGATTTCCCATGGACGCGGGACCCGTCGCCAATCCACGCCCACCTCGATCCATGTTTGCGATCCCCTGATCCTTCTCGATCCTCGATCATCGATCCTCCTCTAGGCGGCGAGCCACGGGGGGAAGTGAGAAGAGGCGTGCATTCTCAGAAGGCTCGAAAGTTCCCCAGACTTCTGAGAAGTGTTCTAAGCCTTCCCCGAAGACAGAAACAACTTCTCAGAAGGCGCGAGGGCTTCTGAGAAGTCCCGCCGCCTTCTGAGAAGATCTTCTCCTTCTCAATTCCCCCCCCTCGCTCGCCGCCGATCCTACTCCCTCTCGATCCTCGAGGACGCCGCGAGAGGCGCGAGGTCCGCCCCCCCCCCCCCCCCCCCCCCCCCACACCCCCACCCAAAAGGCCTCCCGGCGGCGCGCCCCGCCCCTCGGGCGGGAGGCCTGTCGGCAGAGGCGGGGCAGCCCTCCAGGCCGAGCTTCTGGCAGCCCTCCACGAACGCCTCTCTCTCTCTCTCTCGCGGCGGAGGGTGCGGCGCCCTGAGGGCCCCTGGGGCTCCTCGCCGCCTCGCCTCCTCCCTGCCCCCCCCCCCCCTCTGACAGGCGTTTTGTTGTTTGTTTGTTTGTTTTGTTTGTTTGTTTTGCTTATTTCCGGGGGACTTTTCGCGGCCCCGTGGTGCGTTCCGCCTGAAGCACCCGTGGCAGCGCCCACCGGGCAGCCCCGCGCCGCGCCTCGGCACACCCCCCGCATGCTTCGTGGCCCCGTGAGGAGATCCCCCGAGAGCGATACCCGCAACGACGGCACTCGCAATTGCATGTGGTCGGGCCCTTCGCCGGGATCATTTTTCGCGGGCTTCCGAGAGGGGGGCGTCCAAGAGGAAAAGGGTCACAAATCATGACCGGCGGCCTTTGCGCGGCCCAAGATGGGGGGCCAGGGACGCATTGAGAGAAGAACCAGCGCCATGAAATCTGGGGAGATCTCATGGCCCCCGCAAGGAAATCACCCCCCCCTAGTCATCACCTCCCTCTTGTCCGCCCCCGGGGCTTCGACATTTGGCCGAAGGGTGAGGGGAGGGAGGGGGTCTGGGTCTGGGCGGGTGCTGAGTCGATCGGCTTCTGCCAGTCGCGCGCGCAAAAGCAAACTGGGGGGGGGGGGAGGGGTGCCGCCACCAGTCGCCAGAAGCGAAGCCACCCGCCAAGAGCGGCCACGATCTGGTCCAGCGGGGGGGGGTAGGAGAGGGGGGACGGGTGTCCGCGCCGATCGGCGAAACAATACATAAAAGAACGGCGACCTGTATCCTCGCTCCTGCTCGGACGCCTCCCTCCCCCCTTTTCCTCCTCCACCCTCTTCCGATTCCGTCCTCACGAGGGGCCCCAGATGCATCCTGAATGGACCCAAGATGGCCCAGGGAAGTAGCCAAGACGCTCTCATGGAAGATCCACGATTACATGTGTGCGTTCCAGTCCTGGAGCTGCTCGGCCAGATCCCCATCTTCGATTTGCCGGCTGCACCCTCTCGGTTCCACTGCGTGCGCCCGCACTTACATAATCGATGCAGCGCGCCTGGTCGTCGTTGCTGGATGGTCTGGTGCGGATGTGCGAAGTCTCAAGGTTTACAGGGACGCTCCCCAGGTCACGACCTTTTTGTTGCCCAATGGTTGCCCTGACTTTCATTGTCAAACAGGACGGACGCATGCGACCACCGTGCTCTCCAGGTTGGTGACACAAGGAGGCCAGGCCCGCCACAGGGGCTATGTCTTCCCAAAGCCATCTCACTTCAAGCTCTGCTCCCCTCGATGTTCCAGCTCCTTATCCTGTTCCCTTGGTTCTGGATCCTCGATCCCACCCTCATCCTCCACCTCCTTTTCTTCCTCGCCCCATCGATGCTCGATCCCTGCAGGAGGAGGACGAGGAAGCCCGAGGGGACGGGAAAGCATAATGAGCCCTCTCCTCCGACGATTCATTGTTCACGCGACATGGGCCCCCGGGGATCGTGACCTCTTCCCGGGGCCTGGGTGTCCATTCCATCCCGGAATTATGCCTTGACGGCCGCGGGGCCTGGGAAATAGGCCTCTGGATACGTGCAAAGCCGGAACAACCAACTGTGGCGACTCTTTGTGGCGACGCCCGGAGCTGAGGGGGGAGGGGGGAAACTTCCTCCTCGTCTACCTTCGACTACACGCATGAGTGACCCTGGGTAAGAGTGACCCTTGGTCGCGGAGCACGGAGGGGCGCGAGGGGGCCAAATCCAAGCGCGCGAGCAGCCGCTGTCGCATCGCGCTCAGCGATCAGGGGGACCCTGGTGAGCCCGCACTATAAAGGTCACTCCGGCGAAGAGCCACTCTGACGCGCAGTCGATACCGGACGCAGTCAGGACTGGGGCAGCATCGGCCCGAGACAAAACTCAGGAATCTCTGACATCCGGCAATTTCGGGGTGATGTGTCGAGCGCCGCGGCCGCTCGGGAGCGCTCCAGAGCGCCCTGAGGACAGTCCAGAACGCGTGGGGGCGAATTGATCCAGATCAGAGGGGGAGGGAGGGAGGGGGGCAGGAGTCCTCCAGCCCCTGATGGGCTGGAGGGGGAGAAATCCCCAGGTCCTCCTCCTCCTCCCCCCATCCTCCTCTTCCTCCCCCTCCTCCTCCGCCTCCTCCTGCTCCTCCTCATCGTCATCATCAGCATCATCATCAGCAGCATCAGCAGCAGCAGCATAGCAATCATCATCATCATCATCATCATCATCATCATCATCATCATCATCATCATCATCATCATCACCACCACCACCACCACCACCACCACCAACACCGCCACTGCCATCATCATCATCATCATCAACAGCAGCAGCATCATCATCATCAGCAGCATCACCATCATCATCATCATCATCATCATCATCATCATCAGCAGCATCACAACAATCATCATCACAACCACCACCAACACCATCATCATCATCAGCAGCATCAGCATCATACTCAACAACGTCAGCATCAGCATCCTCATCAGCATCATCATCCTCATCCTAATCATCATCACCACCATCATCATAATCATCCTCATCAGCATTAAAATCGCCATCGTCAGCATCACAACCACCATCATCATCATCACCACCGAGACCATCATTATGCACATCACCACCCCCATCAGCATCAGCATCACCATTATCATCATCAGCAACATCATAATCATCATCATAATCGGCATCACTGCCATCAGCATTGTCATCATGTTCATCAGCAGCATCATCAGCATCACAAGTATCATCATCACCATCATCATCGTCAGTATCGCCATCATCATCATCTTCATCATCAATCGTCATCATCATCAGCAGCATCATCAACATCAGCATCATCACCATCACCATCAGCATCATCATGAACATAATCATCAACATCATATTCATTAGCATCACCACCATCAGCATTAGCATCAGCATCATCAACACCATCATCGTCAGCATCATCACCAACATCAGTATCAAACTCATGTTCATCATCAGCATCATTTCAGCATCATCATCAGCATCGTCACATCACCACCACCATCAGCATCACCACAGCCCAAACCATCATCATCATTATCACCACCAGCATCACCATCAACACACTGCGATCGACATTGTTTTAACCATCGTCCGCATCACCAGCATCACCAGGAACATCATAATCACACGTATCAGCATCATTATTATCATCATCATCGTCACCATCACCATCATCATCATGATCACAATCGCAATGATCATCATCAGCAGCAGCAGCATCAGCATCACCATCAGCACCATCATCATCAGCATTATCACCACCATCACCACCACCATCACCATCACCAGCATCATCATCATCAACATCATAATCGTCCTTCTTCTCCTCGCAATCCTCCCCTCGATGGGCTCCCTGCTTTCCTGAGATCCGACGTCGCGAAACATAGAAACATCCCAAGACATGATGACCAACACCCATCTCTCTGCACCATTTCCCGAGCTGGAACGACCTGTGAGGGTGCCAGGGCCCGAGACCCAGCGCAAACGCCCAGCTCAAAAGAATCGAGGCGCCAGGATCTCAGGGTCCTTGTCTTCCTCCTGCTCTTCCTCCTCCTCCCTCGTACTCGCCACCCGAGGGCGGGGCAGGAGCCCCTCTCGTCGAGGAGGATAATGAGAAGGATGAGGAGGAGGAGGAGGAGGAGGAGGAGGAGGAGGAGGAGGAGAAGGAGTGAGGATGAGAAGTACAGGGAGGACGAGGAGGATGAGGAGGAGGAGGAGGAGGAGTGGGAAGAGAGGGAGGAGGAGAAGGAAGAGGAGGAGGAGGAAGAGGAGGAGCAGGAGGAGAAGTGATGGGGAGAAGAAGCGAGGAGGGAGAAGTGATTAGGAGGGGTGAGAAGGAGGAGGAGGAGGAGGAGGAGGAGGAGGAGGAGGAGGAGGAGGAGGAGTGAGAAAAGTGCACGGGGGACCCCCGTTCCCCGAGCACTCTTTGGTCTCGTGCGTGTCTTTTTTTTCTGTGCTTGACGACCCAAGACGCTCCTCGATGGCCCTCGCCGAGGGAAAAAACGCACGCGTCCGAGCGAGGCCAACAGGAGGGCGTCGGCGGCGGTGGAGCCCCCCTCGGAGGGCGCCTGGCGATCGACGCGGTCGCCGCCGCGCACGTCGAAGACGGCCCTGCCCCGCGAGGGCCAGGCGCACGCGGTGCCGCCCGGAGGGGGGGGGGGGGCACCTGCTGCCTGCGCAGTGTCCCTGGGAGTGCACGGTGTGACCCCCCCCCCCACAGTTCGGGAGCGACATCATGCCTACCTGCCTTAGGAAGCAACTACTGAAAGGTCTTCGTCGGTCGGAAGGATGAGGGAGACTTACGCCCCATCGGGGGGCTGCTGCACCAGACTGGGCCGCGGATCAAGCGGGATAAAGCGGGATCGAACGGGGATCGAGCCGGATCAAACGGGGATCGAGCCGGAAGAAGCCCGATTTCGGACCAGGGGGGGTGTACCTGCCGCGCAGGGTCCCCGGGGGCGCGCGGTGCTCGCACCCCCCTCTCCTGATCATTGGATACTGGAAGAGCCGGTCGCGAACGACGAGATCGGTCGCTACCGATTTTGCTTCGAATGTCGGTATCGGTCGCAACCCGTCGGTCGCGCTCGGTAGCGACTGGTCGCGACCGATTTTGGGATCGGTCGCGACTGATTTGAAGTGCCGATCGGTCGCTACAGATCGCGACCGAACAACAATATGTATCTGATGACCTTGGCCCCTCACGATTCGGGAGCCACAACATTACTACCTACCAGACCACCCCGATCTAACCCGAAGACCAAACTTTCGAGTTTGGGGGGGATACGGGTTCCACATATGTTTTGTTCCAGTGATCCCCGACGCCCACCCCAGTGGGAATGGAGGGCTAGTTTGGTTGCGGTGTGGCTTGGTGGATGGTGGCAGCAAGGACCTTCGACAATTACCCTGACGAAGGTCCCAACCATGTGCAGTTGCGAGTACCGCATTGTGGGTACCGGTTTCGGTGACGCTCCTATGGGGCCACGAAACTTGTGAGGGGTGCGCCGAAATTGTTGGCGCGGACGCATGTGGACACCGCCACTGGGGCCTTCGGTGGAGCTCCCTATGGGGCCACGAAACGCTGCCCTGGGCAAGGGAGACGCATGCGAACTGCGCCATTGGGACCTTCGCTGGAGCTCCTTATGGGGCCACGAAGCGCTGTCATGGGTGGGGGAGACGCATGCAAACTGCGCCTCTGGCGCCTTCGGTGGATCTCCCTATGGGGCCACGAACCGCTGTCCTGGGTGGAGGAGACGCATGCGACCCCCCCAACTGGGGCCATCGGCGGAGCTCCCTATGGAGCCACGAAGCGCTGCCCTGGGTGGGGGAACCGCATGCGAACACCCCCACTGGGGCCATCGGTGGATCTCTCTATAGGGCCACGACACGCTGCCCTGGGTGGGGTAACCGCATGCGACCCCCCCCACTGGGGCCATCGGCGGAGCTCCCTATGGGGCCACGAAGCGCTGCCCTGGGTGGGGGAACCGCATGCGAACACCCCCACTGGGGCCATCGGTGGAGCTCCCTATAAGGCCACGAAACGCTGCCCTGGGTGGGGGAACCGCATGCGAACACTCCCACTGGGGCCTTCGGTGGAGCTCCCTATGGGGCCACGAAGCGCTGCCCTGGGTGGGGGAACCGCATGCGAACACCCCCCCCGCTGGGCCTTTCGGTGGAGCTCCCTATGGGGCCACGAAACGTTGCCCTGGGTGGGGAACCGCATGCGAGAGCAACCACTGGGGCCTTCGGTGGAGCCCCGTCCTATAGGGCCACGAAACGCTGCCCTGGGTGGGGGAGACGCATGCGACCCCCTCCACTGGGGCCATCGGCAGGGCTCCCTATGGGGCCACGAAACGCTGCCCTGGGTGGGGGGACCGCATGCGAACACCCCCACGGGGGCCATCGGTGGATCTCCCTATAGGGCCACGACACGCTGCCCTGGGTGGAGTAACCGCATGCGACCCCCCAACTGGGGCCATCGGCGGAGCTCCCTATGGGGCCACGAAGCGCTGCCCTGGGTGGGGAACCGCATGCGAACACCCCCACTGGGGCCATCGGTGGAGCTCCCTATAAAGCCAGGAAGCGCTGCCCTGGGTGGGGGAACCGCATGCGAACACCCCAACTGGGGCCTTCGGTGGAGCTCCCTATGGGGCCACGAAGCGCTGCCCTGGGTGGAGGAGACGCATGTGACCCCCCCCCTCCACTGGGCCCTTCGGTGGAGCTCCCTATGGGGCCACGAAGCGCTGCCCTGGGTGGGGAACCGAATGCGAGAGCAACCACTGGGGCCTTCGGTGGAGCTCCCCCCTATAGGGCCACGAAGCGCTGCCCTGGGTGGGGGAACCGCATGCGACCCCCTCCACTGGGGCCATCGGCGGAGCTCCCTATGGGTCCACGAAACGCTGCCCTGGGTGAGGGGAACCGCATGCGAACACGCCCACTGGGGCCATCGGCGGAGCTCCCTACGGGGCCACGAAACGCTGCCCTGGGTGGGGGAACCGCATGCGAACACCCCCACTGGGGCCTTCTGTGGAGTTCCCTATGGGGCCACGAAGCGCTGCCCTGGGTGCGGTAACCGCATGCGACCCCCCACGCACTGGGCCCTTCGGTGGAACTCCCTATGGGGCCACGAAGCGCTGCCCTGGGTGGGGGGACCGCATGCGAAAGCAACCACTTGGGCCTTCGGCGGAGCTCCCTATGGGGCTACGAAACGCGTGAGAGGTGTGCCGAGAGCAGAGGCAAGGAGGGGGAGGAGGGAGGAGGGGGAGGAGGGAGGAGGGGGCGGAGGAGGAAGGAAGGTGGGACGCGGGGCGCTGTCTCTTCAAAAAGAGGACCCAACACCACAGGATGGTTGGGAATAACTCACAAAAACTGTTGGTCGTCCCCATGGCGGCGTGCCAAACCGTGCGCAAAATGGACACAATGCATCCCCCTTCCATGCCAATAGCGTTCCCTAGTGGATGCTACTTGATCGCTATTCGGCGCAAGTATGCGCCATTTGGCGCTATTGAACGCTATTGGGTGCTATTCGCTGATATACATACATTCAAACGAAGACGAGCGGAATCTTCTGTGATTTACTATCAGGAGTTTCAGTTCAAATAGGTCTGGTTCGAACCAAGGTAAAAGCGCCCGCCCGCTTGTCTCTCTGTGCTGGCGATGTCCGAGCGGTGCCTCACGGGCGAAACCGATCATGTGCAACGATCCCGCCTGGCAATCTTTGAAATATACATTGCAGCTGAAACAGCATTCTTTTTGTTCCCCACCTGGTAATTTGGAAAAACAGCGAGCACCTGACACGCCTTGCACACCCTGCACACTGCGGCCGCCAAGCAAAAAGTGTGCAACTACTCGCCCGGTATCCCGCCTTGTGCCTTCGGCAAATAACAATTGCATGCCGCGGCTGCCAGACCCCAGGGGTGCTGGTGCTCCCTGGAGATCTGGCCTCGCGCTGGTGGTTAGAATCGCTCGAAGCAGCAAAGAAATGTATGAGATTTTGGATTTGGACTCCCCCTCGGATCATCCGATGACGCCTGTTGTTTGTTTTGGGAAAGCGATAGACAGAGAGAGAGAGAGAGAGAGAATTATCCTGGCGAAAGACCCAACCATAAGCAATTGTTGGTAACGCGTTGTGGGTGCCGCTTTCGGTGGGGCTCCATATGGGGCCACGAAGCGCTGCCTTGGACGGGGGAACCGCATGCGGACTGCGCCACCGGGGCGGGCCTTCGGTGGAGCTCCCTATGGGGCTACGAAACGCTGCCCTGGGTGGGGGAACCGCATGCGAACTGCGCCACTGGGGCCTTCGGTGGAGCTCCCTATGGTGCCACGAAACGCTGCCCTGGGCGGGGGAAGCGCATGCGAACTGCGCCACGGGGGCTTTCGGTGGAGCTCCCCATGGGGCCACGAAGCGCTGCCCTGGGTGGGGGAACCGCTGGGGCCTCCGGTGGAGCTCCCTATGGGGCCACGAACGCTGCCTGGGTGGGGGAACCGCATGCGAGAGCAGCACTGGGGCCTTCGGTGGAGCTCCCTATGGGGCCACGAAACGCTTCCCTGGGTGGGGGAACCGCATGCGAACACCCCCCAGCTGGGGGGCCTTCGGTGGAGCTCCCTATGGGGCTACGAAGCGCTGCCCTGGGTGGGGGAACCGCATGCGAACACCCCCACTGGGGCCTTCGGTGGAGCTCCCTATGGGGCCACGAAACGCTGCCCTGGGTGGGGGAACCGCATGCGAACACCCCCACTGGGGCCTTCGGTGGAGCTCCCTATGGGGCTACGGAAACGCTGCCCTGGGTGGGGGAACCGCATGCGAACACCCCCACTGGGGCCTTCGGTGGAGCTCCCTATGGGGCTACGAAACGCTGCCCTGGGTGGGGAACCGCATGCGAACACCCCCACTGGGGCCTTCGGTGGAGCTCCCTATGGGGCCACGAAACGCTGCCCTGGGTGGGGGAACCGCATGCGAACACCCCCACTGGGGCCTTCGGTGGAGCTCCCTATGGGGCCACGAAACGCTGCCCTGGGTGGGGGAACCGCATGCGAACACCCCCACTGGGGCCTTCGGTGGAGCTCCCTATGGGGCTACGAAACGCTGCCCTGGGTGGGGGAACCGCATGCGAACACCCCCACTGGGGCCTTCGGTGGAGCTCCCTATGGGGCCACGAAACGCTGCCCTGGGTGGGGGAACCGCATGCGAACACCCCCACTGGGGCCTTCGGTGGAGCTCCCTATGGGGCTACGAAACGCTGCCCTGGGTGGGGGAACCGCATGCGAACACCCCCACTGGGGCCTTCGGTGGAGCTCCCTATGGGGCCACGAAACGCTGCCCTGGGTGGGGGAACCGCATGCGAACACCCCCACTGGGGCCTTCGGTGGAGCTCCCTATGGGGCTACGAAACGCTGCCCTGGGTGGGGGAACCGCATGCGAACACCCCCACTGGGGCCTTCGGTGGAGCTCCCTATGGGGCCACGAAACGCTGCCCTGGGTGGGGGAACCGCATGCGAACACCCCCACTGGGGCCTTCGGTGGAGCTCCCTATGGGGCTACGAAACGCTGCCCTGGGTGGGGAACCGCATGCGAACACCCCCACTGGGGCCTTCGGTGGAGCTCCCTATGGGGCCACGAAACGCTGCCCTGGGTGGGGGAACCGCATGCGAACACCCCCACTGGGGCCTTCGGTGGAGCTCCCTATGGGGCTACGAAACGCTGCCCTGGGTGGGGGAACCGCATGCGAACACCCCCACTGGGGCCTTCGGTGGAGCTCCGTATGGGGCCACGAAACGCTGCCCTGGGTGGGGGAACCGCATGCGAACACCCCCACGAGGGGGAGGAGGAGAGGAAGGAGGGGAACGCGGGGCACCGTCTCTTCAAAACGAGGACCCAACACCACAGGATGGTTGGGAAAAAAACAGGAAGGTAGAAGATGGGAGCGGCCATGAAGACTCAACGACAAGTTCTGCTGATGAGGCGCGCGCGGTGATCATTCAATACCTGCACTAACAAATCGATGGCGTGCGCGCCCAAAAAAGCGCAAGGTTCCCGTGTAGGCGGTGGTCTCACTCTCCAGTGTCACCATGGGAGCAATCCCTCTACGTGTCCAAGGAGCGTTCGAGTGTTCACAGTTTCAGTGTTTTGGCAATTAGCAAACACTTGTGGCCACGCATTTTGTAACATTACCACGTTGAAGCAATTCGCCATTATATGATGCAACGCGCTGTCTGCGTCAAGACATTCTTAGAGACTGTCTGGAGTCGAATCCTGGTAAGGACAACCAAAACTCGACGACGGCCCGTCTGACCTTGTGGTCTGCACAGCCCTGGAGAGGCAGTGGTGCTGGACCCAGTTCCAGATCGGATGCAACTGGCCCAACAATGACTGTACAAGAAAACCATGAACTTTTGGACAATTGATGGCGTGTGTAGGTTGATTGTGGATAGTGCGTCCACCAGCAATGAATTGCGATTGGGAAACAACTGACCAACCCCAACCTTATCCTTATCCCTAAGGCCGGCAAGCCACAAGCGATGATAATATGAGGGATGTGTACTCAGGAACTGAGGGACTCCTTAAGATCGGCACCGAGGTAAGGTGATGCCACACATAGACATAGGGATATGTTCCAGGCGGCTGGTAATCAATGCGTTCTCCCCTAAACCTATCCGTCCCTAACGTGCCCCGGTGTTCCTGACCCTCCCCCACTCGGGAAAACATGAGACTCGGATTCGGGTGATTCGGGTTGGCCTGACTTCGCCGTCAGGAGAGTGACCAAACCCAATCTGAAATTTGACGCACCTCCCGCTGCGAGAATCCCAAGAAAACTAGACAGTCGGCGGAATCCAAGACGGGCTCGTCTGTAAGCGTCGGCAAGCCCGAGATCCAGTGAACTCGAGTCTTCCGTTTCCCGATCCATGCCCCTCCCCCCCTCGTCTTCCCGCCTCTGCGTCCTCGTAACTCTGAGGGCCCCCCCAATACGACTGAATGCTCGGCGACCTAAGGACAGGGGTCCCACCAACAGGGGGGAACTATGTGTTTTTTCTGCCGCACCTGCCGCGCAACAACGACGACGATAGCTACGACTACGCTTGCGGAGGAGGAGGAGGAGGAGGAGGAGGAGGAGGAGGAGGAGGAGGAGGAGGAGGAGGTTTTAGGACAAGCCCTATTCACCGCCAAGAGAAGACCTTTGGCGGTGACCCTGGGGGGGGCCTGGGTAACGACCACTGCGCGCCCAGCAGCACCTGGGCCCCCGAGCGCCAGCAGAAGCCGACGATGGGCGGCGTCCGCAGCGGCGGCGGCGGTGGTGACCGCGTTAGAAGGGCAACTACTGGGAGGTCTTCGTCGGAAGGATTATCAGAGGAGGAAAGGTACCCATACCTCTACCCTCCCCTCGATTTCCTCTTTTTGGGCCTCCTGGGCCTATGTCGTCTCCGCTGGATTCGCTTCGAAATCCTGGTCAGAACGCGCCCCGGGAGAGGTCTGGGGAATGGCGGTATCGGCACCTTTTGGTTGCCACAGATGAGGAAGAATTCAGCCCCACTGGGGGGCTGCTGCGCCGGATGAGGCCGCGGATTCAACGGGGTCTGGCCGGACTCAGCGTGATTATAAGCCGGATTTCGGACCAGGGCCAAATAAGAATCTAAGGGGCCCAAAGGTATACACCACCACCACCACCACCACCACCACCACCACCACCACCACCACCACCACCACCACCACCACCACCACCACGACCACCACCACCACCACCACCACCACCACCACCACCACCACCACCACCACCACACCACCTCCGTCCTGCCCTCCAGCTCCGCCAGGAAAGAGGCGAGGAAGAGAGAGGAGGGTGGAGGAGGCAAGTGACATTGACGTGGTGGTCGTGTATATTCTCGGGGCCCGCAGAATCTGACCTCCCGGGAGCTTCACCCCAAAACCCCCGACGTCGTGATTTTTTTCACAACTTCGACCCCCAGAGGTCTGGACCCCTTTCTGGGGACTGGTTTTTTATCCTGAGTCGTCATTTGACGGTCTCGAGGCCCGGGGAGGGCCCCCAGAGGCAGAAACTAGCGAAAAACCTCCCGTCGTCCAATTGTTCACAACGCGAGGGCGTCTGGGGAATCTGACCTCCCAGGAGCTGGTGGTAGGCTATATTCGTAAGGCCCGCAGAATCTGTTGGCGGCGCGCAGAAAGGGGGTAGGGGAAGGGGGGAGGGCTTCTTAGAAAGAGGCTGCTTCTTAGAAGGCGCTGGCCTTCCATCTAGAGAGAAGGCCGGCGCCTTCTAAAAGGTAGGAGTGCTCCTAAGAAACCCTCCCCCCCTGCCCCTACTCCCCTCTGCGCGTGGCCGAATCTGACCTCCCGGGAGCTGCACCCGTTGAGCAGGGACCGACCGTCCTCCCGGCATTCCTATAGGCCTACCACGACATGTTCTTAGAACCCGAAACATGTTCCACGAACACAACATGTTCTTGGAGCATGAACCCGACGTGTTCAACCATGACGGTCCCAGCCAGAAGTGTTCTGAGAATATTTCGTTGAAGCCACAACAGGTTCTTAGAACATTCTTTGGTGGGCCCGTAAGACGCTTCGCCACTGCTCGACCCCGAGGCTGCGGCGGCGCGGTGCAGGCCGGCCGGCCGGCCCGTGAGGGCCTCCAGGCCTCCTCCCACGAATCATGCTGCTGGGACGCCTCGGCGGGCGCCGGGAGGGCCGGCTCTCCCGCGCGAGGCGGGGCGGCACAGGGCTCTTCGACGCATAGGTCGCCCGAGCGACGCAGCGGCGGCTTAAGCGAGGGGGGGGAGCCAAGGAGGAAAAAGGTACCCATACACCTCTACCTTTCCCCCGTTTTCCCCTTTTTTGGGCCTCCTGGGAGGCCCTCGTCGCCACCGCAGGATTCGCCTCGGAGTCCTGGTCAGAACGCACTCCGGGAGAGGCCAGGGGAGTAGCCGTATCGGTACCTTTTTGGTTTCCCCGAGGGATAAGTGAGAAGGACAAGGCCTTTTCAAAGCCGTTTCGAGTGGCGTGCGCGCCGTGGATACTTCTTGGAGGCGGGCCGAGAGAGAAGTTAGAGGGGCAGGCCTTTTCGAAAGCGGTGGGGCTTCTCAGTGCGGAAGATGTCTCAGGCCAGGCCGGTGGCGACGCCCGCAGTTATCCTCTTCGCTACCTTCTCTCACCTCTTTGTGCGTGACCCTCAAGGCGCACGCGTCTCTGTGGAGTGTCCTGCGGCCAAGTGCCCTGTGCAGGCGCCATTCCACAAGGGGTGGGTATATGCTGACTGGCTGTCTTGCTCTTTCAAACCTCTCACAGGTTATCAGCCGAGCTTGCTTTGCCCTCTGCTTTATGTGACTATCGTTATTTCGATGCTCATTATGAGTTGTGCTTGTGCTGCGCCACGCGAAGGACGGCGCAATTGCTTCAGGTGATGTGACGGATCACTTTGCCCATTTGAGCTGTCCAGCGCCAGTCGAAGGACGGCGCAATAGCTTCAGGTGATGAGACGGTCCGTTCTGACCATTCCGACTTTGCCACCACAGGAAGACGCCACCACTTCTGGAGACGTGACGGTGTGTCTTGCCTCTATGTGCCGCAGTGTCACTTGCAATATGGTGCTCTGCATCATACAATATGACGCATTACTATTCTCTATGTGACCATCGTTGACTGTCTCGGTTGGAAACTGCATTGGCGACCTTGCATACGCTGGTATGTCCACTTTCTGTGCCGGTGGGAACATCCGCATTGTCCTCGTCGCCTTGTCTGGACGCTGCGCCACTCCGATCTTGCAATGCTCCCAGCGCGAAAGAGACTTCTCGATCTGTCCCCCATCGCCAAGGTTCTTGCTCTAATCCCACCAGCCCTCTGGGCGTCGGTGGTTTAAGGAGTTTCCTCTTCCACCCCTCCTTCTTCCCCTTCGGGGAAGGGTTTACCCCTCCCCCTACCCCCTCCCCGTGGACCTGGACAGAGGGTTTCGCGAGGTGCCGGAGCGTCCAAAACGGCCTCGGCGAGAAAGCCAGCATCACTGGTTTTACTGAGGTTTTGGCTCCGTTTTGGCCTCCTGAGGGGGGGACCCTAATTAGACACCCCCCCTCCTGTGATCGATCTCACCCACGATGGCCCAAAGATGGCCCCCAAGACTCCCAAGGGTGCCCCAAGAGGGCCCCAAGAGATGGCAAGGAAGCCCCAAGAGGCCCCCAGGATGCCCCCAAGAGGCTCCCAAGAGACCCCCAAGAGGCCCCAAGAGAACCCCTAGAGGCACCCAAGAGGCCTCGGCGTGAATGCCAAATCATTCATTTCACCAAGGTTTTAGCCACATGTTGGCCTCTTGGGGGGGCACTGATTAAGATGACTCCAAGAGCGCCTGGGCGAGCCCAAGATGACCTCCAGGATGGCTCAAGATATCCCAATATGTCTCATAATGGCTCCCACGATGCTCCAAGATGCCCCAATACCGCTCCAAGACGGCTCCAAGTCGCCAAAGACCTCCCCCAGGAGGCCCCGAAGAACCCAACACCTGAGGAACATCTATGTGTTTGGCTTTCTCGCCTTTCGCTTCCGATGGCCATCCGAGGCCTCAAGATGGCTCCAAGATGGGCCAAGAAGGCTCCAAGAGAGGTTCAACAGAGCCCCAAGACGGCCCCAAGAGCGCCTAAGAGCGCTCCAGGATCGCCCCAAGAGGAGATGTTTTTGGCTCCCGAGGGGCAACGCTAACTAAATTAGTTAGCGAACTGACTAAATACGATCAAACAAGAAACGAGCTTTCAATGCTCGTTTCTTGTTTGATCGATGTCCTCCAAAATGGCCCCACGAACGTTTCCAAGGCTCCCAAGAGCGCTTCAAGAGGGCCCCAAGAGGCGCCCAGGAGGCCCCAACAGGCGCCCAAGAGGCCTCCAAGATGCTCCCAAGAGACCCCCGAGAGGCCCCAACAAGCCTTCCGAGGCACCCAAGACGCTCCAAGAGGACTCCAGTGGGGGACCCTTCCTCTTTGTGTTGCCCACTTCCCTGATCGAGGCAATTGCTGCGGGCATCGTTTCTGGATGGGCTGGTGGGTGTACTTTTGGTCGCGGCCGCGAGCGAGAGCGCACACGGCCAGTCGTAAGTCCGGGGCGCGGGCCTACTAATTAACTACTGGTGGGGTTACTTGTTGTCGCGGCCGCAAGCGAAAGCGAAGGAGGCGTCCGGAAAGGTCGAGCGGGCTGCGCGCGAGCCTAATTATACAGCGACCGAACGCGGGATCAGACCCTACCGCCGGGTGGGCAGCTGGCTGAAGCTGAGCTGGCTGAGCTGGCTGCAAGCGGCCAGGGCTGCATGCTGCACACGTGCGAGACACAGAAGGAACAACAGGGTGAATTGACCCTGCACGCCAGGAGACGTCGTGGTCTGGGCTGTAGGATACCGATCAAGCGACAGACAAGCGAGGCTGCACCGCAAAGACCCAGGCCCGTCAGGACGGAGACAGGAGAACAGAGTCGGATGGGTGCAAGCACTCTCGGACTCGGTGTGGGTACCATGGGAGCATATCACCAAATACGCTACAGGACCTTGTCGCCACCGGGCGCCAGGGGTCGGGGCCACAGCCGTGGCGAAGTGCGGGACCACGAAAAGTCCAGCGATAGTGGGCCAATGGAGGGCGCGCAGATCCGTACAAGAAGGCTGAACCACTCCTGAATGGACCGGCAGACATAACGCCAAAGGCCAGCTTCAGACACGGCCGGCTGAGGCAATGACTGAAGACCAGATGCCCGGAGAATGCTGACGCATACGTAGGAACTGGCCTGGGGGCGTGAGTCGAGGACGCCGCGCAGAGGGAACCGCGATTTGTGCGACTGGTGGGGTTACGCGAAGCGTCAAGAATTCTCTCACGTCGTCTTGCGTCGGGCGCGAAGTGTTGCTTTCAACCTCTCCACAGGTGCACGTCGACGCCCTCCTCATCTCGCTGTCTATTGTCCTTTTCTCTCCCGCCATCCATGTGGCCTGTCTTCTTTCTCCTCGCGCTTCTGTTTGTGCATGTTGTCACCATACACGCATCCATGTTGGAACGATTGCTGGTAATTGTGTTATGCCGAACGGTCTTCGCTTCACGGGTTGATGCATCTGAGGGCGTGTGCATTGCTTGCGGAAAGAATCTCCATGATCGTTTGCGGAATACCAGCGCCCTGGCAGAATTGCATGATGTACGGGCCCAAACCTGCAGGCTGGTGATCCCGGCTTCGGATTATGATTTCACGTCGCCTCCCTCGAAGCCCGATGCAGGACTGGCATTCCACCTAATCGCGAAGAGTAGCACCAGGTGGCGGGGGCGCCTGGTGTCCAGGCATTTGCTACTTGTCACCTCTCCCAAGCTCGAGAAGAGATTCGTGAATCAGCGATGCTGAAAAGGCACCGGCTGCGGATTCTCTTGGACCGCATGAGATTCGCACGGTGCACATCGCACCAAGTAAGCAGGGGCCGACTTCTGTACGCGCAGACGATTCCGAGACGTCGATAGCGGGTGCCTATAGGCACTCACAGCTGACCCATGACCTTCTGATTTGTTTTGTGGTTGATGGTTGTCACAGTGACACTCAGGTTACTCCTCCTCACAGAGCCCGCAGCATCCACAACTACAGGTTGAGTCCTCGCGGTGGACCCCGCAGCAACTCCGTGCGGATCCCTATTCGTCTTTTCTTGCAACGTCTGGGCACGGATGTCCCTCTTCGGGGGGGGTCTTTCCCCCTTTGCCCCTTCCTCCTCCTCTCTTCCGGTCCCGCAGCCTCTGGGTGTCGTGGGAATTCACCTCCCCACGTCTCCCTGGAGTCGGGTCCGTTCCCTTCCTCTCTTTCCCCTTCTTCTTGTCACAAATAAGGAACCTCTGCGGGGGGGTCACAGCCCCGAAAACTGGCGCCTCTCACCACGGAGCTTAAAAGGACATGCTCGAGGTGGCCAGAGTCTGGCCCTTGTCGATGAGAGCAGCCTCTTTTGGGCGGGGCTGGCACGCCCCTGATCGTTAAGAGCAGCCCATCTTGGGCGGGGGCAATACTTCCCTATATCTCCTTTCTTCTTCTTGTTTCCCTCTCTCGTGTGGTCTCGTGTCGGGGGGGGGGGGGCCGTCGGCGGTGTCGGTGCTCCCGCTCTTCAGGGCAGCTGAGCCTCGAGGAATCCAGTGGTTGAGCTCACATCGTTTCGCGTTGTTTCGCTCATCTGCCCGAGCTCGCGTCCCTCGGGTCGAATGGGCAGTGCTCCGCTGCCTCCCCACAAGTACACATAGACATGGTCTTCCTCTTCCTTCTCTCCTCCGTTCTCTTCCTTTGTCCTGCCCCGCCACAAGTGTACGTCGAGAGACGCGGGTCGACGTGCTGAAGCTCTCGCGCGCTCTCACAATCCTGCTTTCCTTCTCGGTCGCTCCTGTCAAGTGCGCATCTTGCACTACAACGCACTGCGCAGTGGGCAATCCAACCTATATCCATTCTATTTTGACGTTGTGTACACATGTCAGATGTTCAAGATTCTTCCCCACAGATGCACGTCTTGACGCTTCTCTGCCACCGCCTCACTTGGAATGCTCTCGCTGCGAGGTCTGCCCAGCCAGCAGGTCTTTTTCATCTTCTGTTTGCTTCCGCCACCCATGTGTCGTAGGGGGGGGTGGAAGATGTCTCGGGCCAGGCTGGTGGCGACGCCCACAGTTCTCCTCTTCTCTCTCTTCACTCACCTCTCTGTGCGTGACCCTCAAGGCGCACGCGTCTCTGTGGAGTGTCCTGCGGCCATGTGCCCTGTGCAGGCGCCATTCTACAAGGGGTGGGTATATGCTGACTTGCTGTCTTGCTCGTTCATCCCTCTCACACTCAGAAGCCCTCGTGCCTTTTGAGAGGTGTTCTGTGTCTTCGGGGAAGGCCTAGAACACTTCTCAAAAGGCTGGGGGGGCTCTCGAGCCTTCTGAGAAGGCCTTCTCCTTCTCACTTCCCCACTTCCCCCCCTCGCTCGCCGCCAGACGCTTCGACACTACGCAGTGGCTGAGGCAAGCTACTCGCGAGGAACACCACGAGGGGAGGAGGGCACTTATTAATAGGGGAACAGAAAACGGCATGAACGTATACAACCGCCAGGGGGGCCCGGCGCGGATCCAAGAAATCCGCGCGACAATCAAATTATGTTTACAGTGGAGGCCCGTCCACAAGCAACCTTCCACAAGAAACCCAACCCTGAGACCCCAGCACGTCCACATTGGTTTCTGGTGTGGTTACGCCACGCTTTCCATCGCAAAACCATCCACGCCCAATAATCCCAAGGCACCCTGGAGGCAAGCCAGGTGTTTCTTGGCATGGGTCTCCATTGTAATTACGGCGTTTTTCGAGGAAAGCCCAGAGTCGAATCGATACGTCCATTCGGCGACCGAAATGAATCGGATCGGCGGAAATCGCAGCCGAGTCGGGAGAAGTCGAATCGGCGGAAATCGGCAGACAATCGAAATCTGGAACCGAATCGAATCGGAATCGGAATCCAGCGAAATCCAATCGAATCGAACCGGCGGGATCGAAACACGAGCCCTGAGCCGGGTGTCTCTCGGCACGGGCCTCCACCGTGCGGCGCCTGCTCCCTCCTCGAGCCCGCGCGCCGCAGCACGCGGGAAGCTCCCGCGCGAGCGCCCGCGCAGGGCGACCCAGGCGCTGCGTCGCTCACCCTGGCGTGGAGCTTCGCGCGCCACGCCAGGGTGAGCGCAGCGCGCGGGCGCCGTCGCGCTCGCGCGAGGGCTCCGCCCAGGGTGGCCGATCGGGGGCGCGCCGCTGATGTTTGCAGGCGCCTGACCATCGGCGGCCCAGAACTCGAGCCCTCTGGGGGGGGGGGGATGGGGCTGGAGACGCCTGATGGGCCCGTTTTCCACCACCACCACCACCACCAGAAGTTGGATGGGGGGAGGGCCTCCTCCTCACCCTCTTCTGCTTCCTCCTCCTCACCCTCCACCTCCTTCCCCCCTCCAACTGATGGTGGTGGTAGAAAAAAGGTCCATCAACTCTGGCGAGGGTGGGTGCGTTGACCCAAACGGTGAACGGCAGCCTTGTCAGTGCGGCCGTCAGGCCACAGGTCAAGGGTCGGGCCGCAGGGTCCGCATCGGAGTCTCAGGCCGGGGTGTGTCGTCGGCGTGCGCCCCCGTCCCTCCTTGCTCAGGCTGGCGATCTGTCGAGTGGCATCGAATGGTCCTCCCTTCGGCTGGAGAGCAGACGGCCGGTGGATGTAGACGAGATTGGCAGCACCCCTTTGCCCTGACAAGTATATCGCGACGACTGAGCTCACGGCGAGCTGCAGTCAATAACGGATCTGAGACAGCGACTGAGGGCATGGCGAGTTCATGCCTTGACGGCGTGGCCCCTGGCTTGTGACACCGCGCGCCGCCGCCCGATCTTGAACGACCTCTGCAGACGGAGATTCCTCTAGAACTCTCGCCCTCATCTTTGTGGACGCCCGACACGAGTTCGGAACACGTGCACGTGGGTAGTTACGCTGCCAAGCCACGAAGATTGTCCCAAACCGACAGCGGCCGCTGTCGGGCAGCCGGCCGTCCGTCTTGAATGTAGAGCATCCGCATGGACACCGACAGCGAGGCTTGTTCAACATGAACAGGAACTGCTGTCGGCCTTCTTGCCCGTTTTTTCCGTGCCCGTTTTCGATCGTACTGAATCATCCTGGTGGATTTCGCGACGCGGGGGCTTCTTGGAGGCGAGCCCAGGGGAGAAGTGCGAGGGGCCAGGGATTCTCAGAAGGGGGCGGGGTTTCTCAGAAGCCCTCGCACATTCTGAGCACCCGCCCCCGCCCTCGGAGAATACTTACCTAGAAGACGTTCTCAGTAAGCGCGAGGGCTTCCAAGACGCCTCGCCGCCTTCTGACAAGGCCTGCACTCTTCGGAGGAAGACACAACGGCACAACCATGCACTCTCTCGGAGGTCTGCGCGGATCGAGCGGGACCCCCCTCCCAGGCGTGAGGTCGGGCATGTCCCTCTACAGGCAAATCTTGCAGGAAAAATGAAACATGGTGAAAAATGATCCACATGGTTCAACAATCAGGGGGGCGTAAGACCTGGGTACAGGGGACTCGGAAATCCCCGACGAGGTCGTCAAAAAAATGACGAGGCCGAGCCTGCATTTTGACGAGGCCTCCCGCTGCAGACATCCCACGAAACTCCTCGTCAAAATCCGAGGCGCAGTCGTCAAAAAACGATGGCGAACCCGAGTCCTGGCAGACCCGGGTCTTACGCTCCCCCGACAATAGTCGAAACATCTTCCCCAGACCATCGTTGTGCCATTTTTGTATGCTCCTCCTGTGGATGGACATGCCCGACTTAAACCCGACGCCAGACCCCCCGCCCTGGCGCGCGGCGCGAGCCACGGGCGGCGCCGGAAGGCGCCACAAGGGGGGCGCCTATAGCGCCCATCCAGGAAGCCCGCGCGGAGCTCCGGAGGTCTACACCCTGCGAAATGCTTAAGAAATCATGGGTTGAGAAATTCATAGTCTCAGAAATTGAATAAAACCCAGAACTTCTATCAAAATCTTGGGATTTACATTGAAACGGTAAGAATAATCGACACTCTGGCCGAAAACTTAGGTTTTCTTAAGCATCGCATGAGGTGTACGTTTTGTGCAGTCGGTTTTCTTCGACCCTCTCTGGCCGCACCGCCGAGCCCCTTCGTGTCTGGCTCAGTCCTTCCCGAGTCTTGATCGTGCAGTCTCGCCTTGAGACTTCTCTTCTTGTGCAGCAGGAGCTCACCCGCAAGAGACCTTCCACAAGAAGCCGGACCCTGAGACCCCAGGACGTCTTCTGATTTTTGGTGTGGGGGCATCACGCACTCCATCGCAACACCATCGAAATCGAAGAAACCCGTGGCACCCTGGAGGCAAGTAGGGTGTGTTATGGAATGGGTTTACACTGTACATGCAGTTTCTGCAGTTCACCTGCCCCCTTCGGCTCGACTCCGAGCTCCTGCCCGCCCGAAATCGGCCCTCGAGAGGGCGCTCGACCTCGAGCGCTGGGGAAACGCCACCAACCCGCCGAGAGGGCGGTCCACGCCTAGAAGAACACGGACCACCAGGCTCTCGAGCCGCGCCTGGCGGGGGGGTCACCTCACGAGCGGCGATCGCATCCACATCGATCCTCTGCAGAGGCATCCCGGATGGGGTTCGAGTGGAGGGAGTCGAAGGATCGCGCCGCATCGCCGACGCATCGCCGATGTATCGGCGATGCATCGGCGATGCATCGGGGACGTCGGCGGTGCGTCGCCGAGGTCGGCGTGGGGAATCACGGGCTCCGCAGAGGCTCCACATCGAGCCGCATCGCCGATGCATCAGCGATGCATCGGCGACGCGGCGCGACCCTCCGACCCGCCTCGACCCACCTCGACCCTCCTCCCTCTCGACCCTCGATCCTCGATCCTCCTCAATCCTCCTCAATCCTCGATCCTCGATCCTCGATCCTCCTCAATCCTCGATCCTCGATCGACATCGATCCTCGACCCCCCTTCTCGATGCTCGGGCCTCGACCCTCGATCCACTCCCTCCATGCTCGAGGACGCCCGCGATGGCGCGAGGTCCGCGTGGCGCCTGGGAGGCGGGCTCGGCGGCGCCCCCCGGGAGCTGCTGGAAGCCACGGCTGCGCCGAATGCCGACGCCCTCGCGGCCGCGGATACGGACATGACGTTCGCCCCCGCGAGCCTGGAGGACCTCCCCCGAAGCCCAGACTCGGGTCGGGCGAAAGGGGGGATAGCAAAGGGGGGGTTTGAGAATCGGCTCGCGTGGCTGATTTTCCCGGCGCCTCCCGGCGGCCCGGACTTTTCCGGGTGCGGTGCCGCGGAGACGCGGTCGCACGGGCACAGCCGGCCCGCATCAGCAGGAGGCGCCGCAAGGATGCAGAGGGCCCTGGAGGCCCACGTGAACGTTTTTCGAGCGGGGATGGCCAGCGAAAGTTGCTGAGGATCGGCCGAAGGTTCGGACGCAACTCAAGGGAGCCTCCCATACCATCAGACCATCGTCTTACGAATCGACGCTAATCGACGCGAAATCGACGCTAGTCGACGCTAGATCGACGCTAGATCGACGCTAGATCGACGCTAGCCGACGCTGAATCGGCGCTACCTCACCGACTCCCAGACGCGAATCGACGCGAAAGACGGAATGAAGCGGGCATGCCAGGCTCCCATGATCTGCTACCGAGAAACAGGGGCAAGGATGCCAAGGAGGCTGCCCTTGGGAAGGCCGCCCGCCCTTCCTGCGCGGGTGCTCCTCCTCCTCCTCGTCCTCCTCTTCCTCATCCTCCTCCTCCTCCTCTTCCTCCTCCTCCTCCTTCCCCGCCTCCTCCTCCTCTCCTTCCTCCTCCTCCTCCTCCTCGTCCTCCTCCTCCTCCTCGACTGCAAGTCCCGCGCGGGGCATCCGCGAAGGAGCGCCCCGCAGCCGCGGGGGCCGCGGCAGTGGGGCCCAGCCCGCGAGGCCGCTCCTAGTCGGACGCACGACGTTCGCCTCCGCGAGCCTCTGGACGGGCCTCCCCCGAAGCCCAGACCGGGGGCAACGACCCAACACCGAGGCACGACAGAAACGAATCAGCCGCGGGGGGCGCGGCAGAGGGGTCCAGCCCGCGAGGCCGCGGATACGGACATGACGTTCGCCCCCGCGAGCCTGGAGGACCTCCCCCGAAGCCCAGACTCGGGTCGGGCGAAAGGGGGGATAGCAAAGGGGGGGTTTGAGAATCGGCTCGCGTGGCTGATTTTCCCGGCGCCTCCCGGCGCCGGAGGCGGCCATGTATCGGGGAATGGGCCCCTCGGTGAGGCCGAAACCAGCTGCATGCAGCAAATTTCGTAACCCCCGCTTTCCCAATCCCCCCCTTTCGTCCGGCCCGACAGACGGGAACAACAACCCAATACCGTGGCACGAAATAAACGTCGGGGATCCACTGACCCGGGTCAGTCCAGACCCGGGCCAATCAGGCTTTGCAGGATCCTGCCAAATTTTGCGGGCTCCTGCAGGATCCCGCGCCCCAAACCCGGGTCAGTGCGCTCCTGGCTCTGCAGGATCCTGCAAGAGCAGGCGCTCTGACTGATCCCCGTTTGTACTGACCCCCGCCTCTTTCGGGGATGGACAGACCTCCCTTTAGCAAAACGTGGTTTAGTGAAAACGACCTGAGGCCCAAACCTGGCGGGCGCAAGCCTGGAAAATAACGGCCACGGCGCCCTCTCGAGAACCGAAAACGGACAATTCACTAATCGACGTGTCTGTTGGGGGTTCTGTCCACCCCCGAGCCTCTTGAACCCCGTAAACGAAGGAACGGCGGCGTCCCGGTGGACACGAGTCCTGGACGGGGGTCGGCCGGCGCGGCCGCCGAGGCCGAGGCCGGAGACGATGCCGGAGAAGACGCCGCCGCCGACGAGGCCGACAACGACGACGGGGAGGACGACGACGAGGACGACGAGGAGGACGACGACGAGGAGGACAACGACAACGAGGACGACGGGGACGACGACGACGTGGACGACGACGACAAGGACGACGACGACGACGACCGCGACGACGGCGAGAGCGGCGCCAGCGAGGACGACGACGGGGACGGCGGCGGTGGCGGCGCAGGAGCCGCGGGCCGAGGCCGCGGCAAGCATGGTGATGTCCTCGCAGCGGCGCTGGGCCCCTGTCTTTCCCAGCTCGTCCAGGTCGCCCCGCCCTCATCAAAAGGGGGCCCAGGGGCACACAGACGAACAGACACACAGCTTCCAGGACGTCCACCCACTGCACCAAGATGTCTGCTGTATGTCTTCCCTCCCCTCTCCAGATGGCAATTTTTCAAAGGGGTGCAAGGACACACAATTCAATACACAGAAAACAGATAATCTCACATATTTTTTTCTGGGTTTTTGTCTTCCCCTTACACTTCCCATAGTTTCCCATGTCTTCCTGGGAGTCGACGATTCATTGTGTTCGCGTGTGTGATTTCCCCTCCTGGCTTTTGCCCCCCACACGCGCACAGACCTTGAAGGAATATCAGCGCTTCTTCGTGGCGGTGCTGCAATTTTCCCTTCCTGATCCCCCTCTAGAAAAACGCACACAGATCATGTTTATGTTTATGGCGTCTTCTCTTCTTCGATGCTTTCCCTCCCGACCGAGGGCAGCGCTCCGCCTGGGGGGGCCCGCTCTTCCTTCGGCCCGCGCGGGCGGCAAAATGCACAACCCGCGCGGGCGAGCCTCCCCATCTGCTGCTCCCGATCACGCTCCCGCTCCCACTCCCTAGCTCTGGGTGCTCTTGGTGGTTTCTCTCTCCCTGCCCCTCTCGCTCTCCCCCCCCTCCCCTCTCATTCTCTCCTTCTCCTTCTCCCTCTCCCTCTCTCTCTCTCTCTCGATCTGTCATTCCATCTCTCTATCCCTCCCCCCTTTGTCTCACCATCTCTCGCTCTCTCCCTCCCTCCATCTTCTTCCTCCTCCATCTACTTCCTCCTCCATCGTCCTCCTCCTCCTCCTCCTCCTCCTCTTCCTCCTCCTCCTCCTCCTCCTCCTCCTCCTCCTCCTCCTCCTCCCTGGCCCCACTTCTCCGTCGCCTTCCTCCACGTTCCGCCCCCTCTGCCCTGCGGAGCGCGGCGGCGGCGCACGCGCGCCGCGGAGCGCGGCGGCGCGCACACCACGGGGAAGAAGGTGGAGGGGGGGGGGCGGTGGCAGCTCATGTGGAGGCCTCCCAGATGGGGTCCGAGTAGATTAAAGGGAAATTAGGACACACAAATAAATACACACAAATAAAAATAGTCCCCATATTTTCCCATATTTTCTGGGTTTTTGTCTTCCCCCCCACTGCCCATATTTTCCCATATTTTCTGGGGGATCGCCGATTAATTGTGTCTGTGTGTTTCTTTCCCTCCTGAGTAGATAGGGTTCGAGGAATCGCGCCGCACGGCCACTGCATCGGCGGCGTCGGCGTGGAGGAAATCGTGCTCCGCATCGGGCCGCATCACCGATGCATCGGCGGTGCGCCATCTACTCCGACCCCATCTAGGAGGCCTAGATCATGGGGGCCTCCCATACCATTTTGTCGGCTCTTGCGAATCGACGCTACATCGACGCTCATCCACGCTAAATCGACGCTAATCGACGCGACATCGACGCACATCGACGCTAACCGACTCTGAATCGGCGATAATAAGAGTGTATACCAAGCTCCCATGATTTGCTACCGAAGAGGGGGGACGGCGGCTGTGGCGGTGAAAGGCGGATCCGGGCGGGGACCTGCGAAGCAGGCACCTGCCGTGTGAACGACGCTCGGCGAACTCCCTGCCCCCACTTGCGCACAACCTGTCCTTTGGTGGACTCGGGAACTGGATGCCTGTTGCGGGTGCTGCTCGAAGTGTCCCTGGCCCACTGTGCCCCCCAGGATCTCCAAGGAGGCCCCCCACGGCCTCCAGAGCACCCTTCACGAGGTTCCGAGGGCCCCAAGGGCTCCAAAGTTGTGCGGGAAGCTGGGGGCACCGTGGGCCAGGGGCACCCGCAACCCCCGACCGCTTTTATGACCTCTACGGAGTCCCCGCCGGCACACCAAAAAAAAAAGCCGGACGGGACGGCGCGGCGGCGGCGAAGGACTACCATGGGTAGGACGGGGTAGAAGGAAAGACAGGGAGGTTCTCCTCCTTCTCCTCCTCCTCCTTCTCCTCCTCCTCCTCCTCCTCCTCCGTCTCTTACCTATGGTGGTAGAAAACCGGCGGTCGAAGGATCCCGCCGCATCGTCGATGCATGGGCGATGCATCGGCGACGTCGACGATGCATCGGCCCGTCTGCGTAGAGAAGATCGGGCGGCACATCGACCCGCATCTCCAATTCGTCGGCGATGCGGCGCGATCTTCCGATACTATTTAGGAGGCCAAGTCATCTGGCTTTGAGAGGACCCCGTTGGTGATCCCAGCTCCCTGGTGCAATCACCCTCTAGTTCCACGGTGGACGCGAGCGTCCATCATGGTTGACACTCTTGACGGTCGGGAAAATCATCGGGCAAAACGAGGGCGTGCGCCGGGGGGATCCAACGGTGGCCCGACAAAGAGTATCCACACCCATGGCACAAGGACCATCTAACATAGTGTTGAACAACATCTATGTGACGTATGTCCCCCCCCTCGCCCCCAAGCCCGAAGTTCAATTGTCCACAATTTGTCCTTCTCGCGTTGCCTCACGCGCACGGCTGTCAAGTTTTATGTTGGGAGGGAGGGGGCGAGCGATCTGTTGGATGCGCTTCGTCGTGGAGCTGTCCAAACAAGGAGCGCACGAAAACTTTTGGCCCGCCGCTGGTCCAGTCGCGGCGGCGAGGAGGGGCGATGGGCAGGTGGCCACATGTGAGAGCCCTGCCCCCGCCCCCCACGACTTCTAAGGTTAGGTCGGGCGTGTCCTCCTACAGGCCAATTTTGGACGAACAAAAATAGTCAAACAATTTTGTCCCCAGACTATTCATTTTTTTTTTTTTTTTTTTTTTTTTTTTTGAAAAATCCTCCTGTAGAGGGACATGCCCGACGTAATCATAGGGTGGGTGAGTGGTTGGCGCACTCCGCTCAGGCGCTCCCCGAACGAAGTGAAGCCCCCCCCCCTCCCCCGCGCAGAAATCCTGGGGGGCGGGGGCAAGGCTCTCATGTGTAGAAGAAAACAAAAACCGCCATAAAAATAAACTGCTGGCGCTCGGCGCGGATCTCGTGGATCTGCGCTAGGTCTCCCGGAGCGCGCCAGGGAAGGCTCCGGAGGTGCCGCGGGGGGGGGCCTGGGGGGCCCAGGCGCGGATCCAAGAACTTCGCGTGAAGCACCAACACTTGATGTTTAGGTCGGGCATGTCCTCCGAGGAAAAACAGAAAATGACAACAGCACGCAAATCATAAATACTCGGCCTGGGAAGCTCGCAGGAAGCCCTCAGAGGCCCCTAAGAAGTCCCCCAGGAGGCCCCAAGAGGCCCCCAAGAGACCCTCAAGAAGCCCCAAGAGGCCCCCACGAGGCTCCCAAGCGGTCCCCAAGAGCCTCCCAAGAGGCCCCACAACTAGCCCCAAGAGGCACCCGAGAGCGCTCGTCGTCGTCGTCGTCGTCGTCGTCGTCGTCGTCGTCGTCGTCGTCGTCGTCGTCGTCGTCGTCAACGTCGTCAACGTCGTCGTCGCCATCGAGGGTCGGCGGCGCTGGCAAAAAGGCCTTCGCAATAGTCAAAAATAGTCACACACATACTGGAAACAACGTCCCCAGACTACTTCTCGACTAGTTCTGGATATTCCTCCTGTCCGAAGGATTGCAAAAAAAAACCCTTGAACGAAGGATTGCAAAAAAACCTTGGGACACGCCCGACTTGACCTTCGGATGTGGCCACCGAGCGGGGGGGGGGGGGCAGGCGGGCCCCGGTTTCCCTCTCGCAGGCCCCCCCCGAGCGATCCGCGCAGCAGGGCCCCTCCTCCTCCCAGGGCGGGAGAGGGCTCCCGCCCGCGGGGGGGCAGGAGCAGCAGCACCACCGGAGGGTCGGGGAGGCGTCAGACTCGCGCACGGGGGCTCGAGCTGGCCTGACAGGGCCATCGTGAGAATGACGAGACCCGGCCTGAAATTTGACGCGAACTCCCGCTGCAAAGCTCCCACGAAAACTGGACCGCCAAGATCCAAAACGCGCTCGCCCAAAAACGTCGGCAAGCCCGAGTCCCGGCGTACTCGTGCCTCACGTTTCCCCGAGAGGGGGAGGGCGACGACGGGGCTGCGGGCAATACTCCTGTTCCCAGACAGCTCCTTGGAGAGCCAAGAAGGTGATTCAGACTACGAGGCCCGAGCCGCAGGGCGGCCCTTGAGCTCGTTCCGGCTTCCGTCCAGAGACCTCGGCGCGCCTCCCCGAAACTTGCAGCGGGTTCTGGCAAGGCTTTCCTAAGCGTTTCCCAAGACGCGTGCCCAGACGCTCTCCAGAGAGTCCTTCGAAAGGTCTCTCCAGATCCTTCCAGAAATCTTCGACAAGCCTTTCCACGCCCTTGTGGCGCCCTGCTATCCGGGTTTGGGATTCCACAAGTCCATATCCAGTGCGTCTTGGACTTTCTTGGAAGGGGCACCGCAAGGCCGATGCGCCCTGGATATGGATAACAATCGAGCCTCTATAAGGGGCCAGTTCTCGTCCATATCCACTGCGCCTCGGGGTTCTGGGGAAGGGAGCCCGAAGCGGAGGCGCCCAGGGAAGCGCGGCTCAGCTGCTGGGCTCTGGCGGTGAGGCATCGTGCTTTTGCTTTGTCGCCGTCCTGCCCGCGACCCGCTCCGCGACCCAACCCCTCGCTGTCGCTCGGACGTCAATTCACCGTGCATTATTTGGTCTCGTGCGTGCGTGTATCTGTTCGCGAGATGGCCCGAACATGCTCCTCGATGGCCCTCGCCGGAAAAAAACACCTCCGAGCGATGCCTAGCCCCTCGACCCACCCATATCGCTTTGACGAAAATTTAGCGCCTGCGGCGGGCTCGCTGCGCAACGTGCAAAGGACAACGTGGCTGGTCGTAGCATCCCCATGCTTCTGCTGACTCTGCTGTGTCGCGCTCTTGCCTTTCGTATCACGAGCCAAATTGATCGGCGTTTGCGGTGGGCTTCTTTAGATTTGCCTTCGAGCCTCGCAGGCTGCCTCGCAGCCAAGCCGCCCCCTCGATCGTATCCGCAACTGCGGGGGCAATGGCAGTTGAAAGCCATGCACTGCCGAGGAAACTGCTGACCTATCCCCGCCTGCCAGAGAAGAGCATGGTCTACGGTCTCGAACGCCTCTATGCAGGTCGAGAAGTTGTAACGAAGGGATGATTATGATATTGAGGAGTATGAGGAATCTATCTATCTATCTATATATATATATACACATCATACACTCTCCGTCCCCACCGGCCGCACCGACAGAGGTCCTTCAGCATCTGCGCGTTCTCCTTGTCTAGCTCGTACAAGCTGACCATGCCTGGGCACCGGCGGGGCTGACGAGGACATTCCTGAAGACGGGGCCCAATTGTCCTCTATGCACCGCGAGAGCCGTTCAACACTGAACGACCTCTGCCCTCGGAGGCCCCTGGAGGCTCTCGAACCCATGATTTTCGTGTAGGCTACACGCAGTGGGTTCTTCGCCGACAGCAACCGCTGCTGGGCGGGCAGAGCTTGTCCAAGACGGGGAACGCACGCGGCGACACCAACAGCGAGCCCTTCTCAAAATGGGCGGGAACTGCTGGTTCAGCTGACATACATAAAGATAATCATGATCAATAAGAAGCAATAAACAAAACATGAGCAAAACATGCTGATGGTCGCCTATAGGAAACCTGCAGAAGTACAAACTTCAACTCCGCGTGGAATTCGTGGATCGGCGCTGGACCGCGGCGCCAGAGGCGCTGCCAAGGATGTCCAGCTACGATCCAAGAAATCCGCGAGGAGCTCCGAACACTTATGTGTATGTCGATATTGTTCGGAGGTTGGGGGGTGAGATCGCAATGGAACGGAGACCCCCAACGGGGAAATCATTTCGTCTCGTTCGTGTCGCGCGTGCGGGCGAGGCGAAGCTGCGCAGGCGCGCAAGAGGAATGATCCCGCCGTTGCTAGGGCGAAGTCAAGACAAATAATTCTCCCCCTCCAGCCTGTCCGGCGGTGTCCCGCGGTGTCCCGTGGTGTCCGCCGTTGCTAGGGCGAAATCGAGACAAATGATTCTCCTCCGCCCGCCCGTCCGGCGGTGGCTCGCGGTGTCCCGCGGTGTCCCGTGGTGTCCCGTGGTGTCCGCCGTTGATAGGGCGAAGTCAAGACAAATGACTCTCCCCCGCCCGCCCGTCCGTCCGTCAGGCAGTGGCTCGCGGTGTCCCGCGGTGTCCTGTGGTGTCCCCTTGAGTGAGATCGATCGTGAGATCGATAATGAGATCGATGTGGTGCCCCGAGGTGCCCCGTGGTTTCCCAAAAAAAGAGATCGATAGTGAGATCGACAGGTGTCCCGTGGTGTCCCGTTGAAAGAGATCGATCGTGAGATCGATAGTGAGATCGATGTGATGCCCCGAGGTGTCCCGTGGTGTCCCAAAAAGTGAGATCGATAGTGAGATCGATAGTGAGATCGACAGGTGTCCCGTGATGTCCCGTTGAGCGAGATCGATAGTGAGATGGATGTGGTGTCCCGAGTTGTCCCGTGGTGTCCTATGGTGTCCCGTTGAGTGAAATCGATAGTGAGATCGATAAAAAGACCAATATTGAGATCGAGAGGTGTACCGCGGTGTCCCGTGGTGTCCCGTTTAATGAGATCGATAGTGAGATCGATCGTGGCATCGACAACTGTCCCGTGGTGTCCCGTTGAGTGAGATCGATAGTGAGATCGATTGAGTCAGATGTTGGTCCCCCCCTCTCTCCCCTCCACAACCTCCTTATCACCCGAAGGGCGGTCATATAAATACTAGTATTACTATTCTCAGTGTTATTGTTATTTAATCGCTTCGCTCATGCCGCCGGCCCTGGAGCCCTCTTTAGGGCCTCTTGGGGGCCTCTTGGGAGTCTCTTGGGGCTCCTTGGCGGCGTTTTGGAGGCCCCCAGGGCTATTCTCAGTGTTATTGTTATTCCTATCCCGAGTGTTCGTATTCGTCTTCTTCTTCGATAGGCTTCGCCCCATTATTTCCTTCCCCGTGATTCTGGTGTTCTCGGGCAATGCTCGAATTTTGTTTGAGGGGGCATTGAGGGGCAATGAACGGGGGGGGGAAGACCATGTTGACCGTTGACATGGGCCACGATGTCAGGGACCTGTTGACCCGGGCCGGTTCAGACCGGGGTCAGTCCGGCCTCGCAGGACCCTGCATGGGCGGTGGACAGACCTCCCATTAGTAAACCTCCCCTTAGTGAAAACCGCCTGTGACCGAAACCGACGGACCAGGACCCGCAACAATGACGGCCGCGACGCCCTCTCGCGAACCGAAAACGGCCAATTCCTTAATCGACGTGTCAGGGTAGGAGGTCTGCCCACCCCCGACTGCAAGATTCTCGTGTTGCATCTCAGGGGGGCCTTGTCTGTCCCATGGCCGCGCTCCTATCCGCGTCGAGTCCATGTCGAATCCGTGCTGCACGCGTCGAGTCCGCGTCGAACACGTCGAGTCAACGCCACGGCCGCGCTGACTCCGCATCGACCCCGCGCTGGGCATAGGGAAAAACAAGCGAGATTTCGGGACAGTCGAGGTCAACGCAAGGAGTCTCAGAGGAGGAAAAAGTACCCATACCTCTACCCTTCGTCCGTTTTCCCTTTTTTGGGCCTCCTGGGAGGCCCTCGTCGCCACCGTTGGATTCGCTTCGAAATTCTGCTCAGAACGCACCCCAGGAGAGGTCCGGGAAGTAGCGGTATCGGTACCTTTTGATTCCCCCAGAGTCTGCAAGATTCTGCACCAAAGCCCGGGTCAGTGCGCCCCTTTCGGGCAGGGACCGACCGTCCCGGCAGCGGCATTCCTGTAGGCCTACCACGGGATGTTCTTAGAACCCCAAGACGTTCGAATAGCAGGAAATATGCTCTTACAACATAAACCCAATGTGTTAAAACAAGACGGCCTCAGCCAGAAAGGCTCTAATAACATTTCGTGCTGACCACAAAAGGTTAGCATAAATTATTTGGTGGGCCCATAGGCGAGCCAGAAAGCATCGCCACTGCTTGACCCTTGACACTGTCGGGGATCTGTTGGTGGTCCCCAAACGTGGTGGTGAGAACACCCGGTGGTGAGTTTTGGGCAATCAGGGTAATGGTTTTCGAGCGTTGGCTGGCCCAGGAAACGCAAAACCTCGTGGCGACCGCGTGTCCCCAAACCCAGTGGCGACCCAGAATTTTTTTTGGGGGGGATCGGGGTCACCACCGGGTGTCTCACCACCTGGTTTGGAGACCACCAAATCTGCTGACACGGGTCAACCCAGACCCGGGTCAGTCGGGCCTTGCAAGATCCTGCAGGATCCTGCGCCCAAACCCGGGTCCATGCGACCCTGGCCCTGCAGGATCCTGCTCCCCAAACCCGATGAATGCGACCCTGGCTCTGCAGGATCCTGCAAGATCCAGCGCTCTGGCTGACCTCCGTTTCTTGAGCCCCGGCTCTGCAAGATCATGCAAGCCCCCGTCTCTTGAGCCCCGGCTCTGCTAGATCATGCAAGCCCCCGCGTTCTGACTGACCCCCTGACTGCATTGGCCCCCGCCTCTCCAGCCTGGCCTCGACCCCTCGGGCGCTCGCGCCGTGCGTCGCCCTCCTCCCTCCTCCCTCCCTCCTCCCTCCTCCCTCCCTCCCTCCTCCCTCCCTCCCTCCTCCCTTCTCCCTCCCTCCTCCCTCCTCCCTCCTCGCCCTCTTCCTCCTCCCTCGCTCCTCC